CCTGAATATGTGAGACAGTGATATTGCTACTTCTAAAGATAGTCTAAAATTGCCATTACTGAAAATACTTACAGTTGCTAACATCTTTCTCCAAACAGCCTGCTTTCCTCTTCCATTCACTACCCCTTATTCATTCTCTTATGTCTATTACACTGAGCAAGCTATTATAGTGGCAACCTATTTTGGTTATTTGAATAGCTGCAGTTAATACAAAAAAGATTAAGTCATATTTCCTTTCGAAAGAGTATTTCATGTGACTGCAGAATGCTCAACTGTATTTCTTCCAACAGAGTATTTAATTTCTGTTTTTGCCCCCACTCCCCTTCATTATTAGTTTCTAGTAACTAACAATACTTGGCTATAAGCCTGATACCAAATGAGTTTATCAAACCCTTGTTCTCTCATAAAAATTGCAAGTTTATTCAAAAAGTTGTCGAGTTTCAAAGTAACTTTGCTGCTGCTTGAACTCTAAAATACAAAACCTGTCTTCAAATAAACTGACATGGCTATTAACAAAATTATTCTGCCAGTTAACTCTGCAAAAGCAGATGGAGGGTGGGGGTTGGCCAATGAACCACAACCAAAAATTCGTAAGATGTTGCTTGCACTAACTCTTTAAAATAGATATTTTATTTAGCTCGGCTTCTTCTGGCTGCACGATGTCCGGTGCTCAGGCAGACGGGGGGTGTGTGTGTGGAGGGAACGCCGGCGACGTCGTCCTCGGCCCGACCATGTCCTTTTCGGCTCCGCGCGCCTCCGGATGACGTCACTCAGCCTCCGTCGACGGCAGCCGCTTTGTTCTTTCACTGCTGGCCACCAGGGATCAGCCAGGCTCTGCTCGCCACCGCTTGCCGCCTCTCAGCATTGCGCCACCTCCTCCAATCGCCACCGCCGTTGCTCCGCTGCCGCCGCTGTTCTCACCGTTGCTATCGCCGCCATTGCTGCCAGTGCCGCTGCTTCTCCACACACCTCCATAGACGGAGGAGGGTGCCCCCCACCCTACTAAGGGTGGGTACCCATTTATCTACTCGCCGATAGATAGTTACTTGGCTTTCGAACCGCTGGGTGGGCGGGAGCTAGGACTAAGGGTCGAGAGCTCACCTCGACCACGGTGGGACTCGAACAGGTGCTCGAGTAGATGTTAAATGCAGGTGTTATACTCCCTGCACCACCGCTCCCTCACTTGGAGGCTTCTGTTACATGTTTCTGACCTATATTTTTTAGCACTGGTATCTAAATCTGTTCAGGCATAATGCTAGGACAATTGAATGCTGGTATGAAGGAGAGAAGATTGTCTAGTTTTAATTACCAATGGCTTAAAAATAAATGTTGAGGAATACCCAGATACTGTCACTGTCAACAGTAGGTAGAATTCACTACATCCTTGTAACCTATCTACATCTCCTCTCCCATGTACACTCACACTGTTAGAATTGTGGGAAGGGAATTCTTTACACACAGGCCTGGGTATGATCTTGTCTTGTGACAGATCAGCAGCGCTCACAGAAGGGGAACTTTCTAGCCTCTGTCTGTAAAAAAACATCCTAGCCCCTGGGGAGTAGCAGACCTCCAGAAACAGCATGGGAGAAGGAAAGTGGAGGTGTGCAGCTGAAGGTGGGAAATCAGCAGAAATCGCTCTGTTCTTTACCCTACAGCAGGTGTTTTCCACAAATGGCAAGGTTAATTAAGGTTTATACCAGTGTTCAGCTAAGCAGTTTCAAAACTCACTAAGTGATCTAAATATGTTTATATCAAAGCATTTACTACAGGATACAAAATGCATAATTTGCAAGGTATTTAAAAACAGGACATAGCAGAAGGTGCCATACACTATCACACAGCCAGCAGTGCCCAGAAGAAAACGGGAAGTACCTAATATAAATCTAATATAGATCTCTGAAAGATGCAGGTGACAAAATGATTCAAAAGCATAGTAAACAATGCAAACCATCACAACTACGGAAGACAGAATCACAGAAACCTGCAAGGCACAGGGTATAGTTAACCAAGAGCAAGAGATCACAGACATGCTCTCTGCTCATATTTATTTATGGAACATCTTAACTGTTAACATCCCTTTACAACTGAAATGATTATTTTCATAATAGTCACTTTGCAAAACAAGTTATTTAACAGTCACATGCAAACCACTAGCAGATCATCAGATTCTTCTGTTTCCTAAAATCTATGGTACAGCAAAATATATCTCACTGTTTGAAAAAAAAATCTGAAAGAACTTCTTATCAGTGTTAAGAACTCATCACATGCACTATGGTAGTGCAAAGTGCCATCGAGTTGCAGCCAACCCCAGAGGGTTTTCAAGTCAAGAGACAAACAGAGATGGTTTACCATTGCCTGCCTCCGGGCAGCAACCTTAGATTTCCTCAGTGGTCTCCCATTCAAGTACTAACTAAATTATTTATTTTTTAACCTTTACCTCCCCCACACGATATTATAAGTCTGTAATTCAATAAAAGCTCCTGAATAAGACAAATCCAAGTGTTCAGCTAAAAAATAAAAAGTGTACCTAGCAAATGGGATGGCAGTGGCAGCAGCATTCAAAGTTGGAAGGGTGAATATCTGATGCTTCCTCATATGGAATTAGACTGTCAACCTAACCCAGAATTATCTATCCTGATTGGCACAGGTTTCCCAAGGGCTCAGACTAAAGCCTTTCCTCAATCTAGTACTCAAGTAAAACGAATCTTGGAGATCTCAAGTATTAAGCCTATCCCACAGTAAGATCATGTGCACTAAGGGCCTTTCTTCAAAACTAAGCAATGAATCACTGAGGTTCTAAAACCTGCAACAGTAACCCCCATGGTCCCAAAGGTGGACACATTTACTCTGTTAAGACAAACACTAGCTATTTGCTTGACATTTAACAACTAGTTTATTATTTTAATTGTTTTTTCCCAGATTTGCATTTCACTGCACATTCAGCTCAACATCTCTGTATTAAAGCCACATTTTCAAACTTGGCTCAAGGGGTCTGATGCAAACAGAAAAATGCACAATCCTCTTTGCCTACGATTGTACTTTCACCTGCAGAGTTACCAGTAACTCATACACAAGGTAAGCATAAATGGATTTTGCTGTTTCAAAGGCCAAATATACGAACTTCTGAAGAAAATGAGCGAAAGATGCTGTGCATGCATTGTATTTTGCAGTTATACAGGTTTTCTAGACTGAACCGGTTTGCTAGAGTGAACAAACAAAACAACAACAAAAATCATAGCAACTATATCCTATCACAGACTTTGTGGCTGTGTTGTGTTTGTTTATTTACATTTGTGTGCCTGTCACATATCCCAAATATCATACACACAATGAGTATAAAAACAAGCATAGACATCTCCACTTAAGTACCACTTCTGGACATCAAATATATGCATGCACATATAAAATGCCAATTTTTACCACAGTTTTTGTTCTACATGGTATTCTTCACTCTACTGGCTTTGTCACATATCGAAAATATAGCAAGAAAGGCCACGGATTCTATTCCCATCTCTTAACCTTAAAGAATTTACCATCTATCAAATAAGTTGTTCACAAGAGAACACCGAATTGAAAATGTAGATACTCCAAACAGGTTATTTTTCATTCTGAGTATCCAGTACATGCAGGACCTGAAAAACATTGCCTATTCCTAGCCATCACCATCAACCATTTTAGGAATTTAACCACAAGGTGTCAGATCTGATTACACATAAAAAGTTAATAGTTCCTTTTTTTCTAGTTTCAAAAAAACCCAGTGACATCAACAGTAAAGTAGCGATTACATTGGTTTCAGTACTAGACATCATATCATTCAAAGTAAACAGAACACATGTGAACAGTGTAAGCACAGTAGCTGTCTGCAGCTTTTCCCCTACTATCAGGAGCTGGATTTGCTCAGGACTAGATCTGAAACCTATTGCACTGAAAGCTTGTGCTCTTTCAATTGTCATACTTAATTTCCAATTAAGTTCCCACAACTTTTCCTACAGCTGTTTTATGAAGATCAGCAGCAACCGGAAGCATAGAAATATGACTGAGTGAAGGGTAATTAACCCTTCCCACCATTATGTTTACACTTCCAGAAGACAAGAGTTATACGATGTTTCTATTTACTTTCTTACTAGAAAAGCTGAGACCCAGCAGGGCAAAGCAAGCGATAAAAGGAACAGTGTGCCAAAGTAGCAATAACATTCTCTGTTCTCACATAAAATTTCCTTAGATACGTGTTACTGGAATCAAATATCCTAGAAATAACTGAATGGAATTCACTTGGTTTTGTATTTGGAGTTTTTGCCAACATAAAATTTTGTTTCATCACCTGTTGCTTAGCTAAAACTCTTTTCATCCATCAGTCCTGAAGATCATCACTATCTGATTCCAAGCAGTGCCTCACAATTCATGATTTATCCACTATACAAGTTAAGTGCTCCAGGGAGAAGAAGCATTACAAGCTATACACTAAATCTTCTCCAGCCTAGTCCAAGACCTGCATCATGAGATACTAGAGAAGCCCTGCTGGTTAAAACCAACATCCACCTTAATTAAGAAACAGCAAACTTCTACACAAGGCATGGCTAAAGGCCACCCTACTACCTCTCTTCCTTTATCCAGCAACAGCCTTCATCCTCATTGCACTGGCACCTCTCCTGCACAGCTATATGAGCAACATACACTCCCTGTCACCACCTCAGACAGCTCCACTCTATGACACGGGTACCCAGCCAGCTTCCTTACTGGGTTTGGGTGTCCACCTCACCTCCTTTGTCCCCCAAACGCCGAAGCCTGACTGGCGTCGGGGAAGTTATCCCATCTATCTCCCCGCTCAAACTTTCACTCACTCACCACATCGCTGCCTCTTTAGCCAACCTCATCCTCGCCCGCCCTCCGCCGCAACGAGACAAGCCACAACCGGCTCGCCTTTTCTCGGTACCAGTCCGGCACCCCAACAACAACCGTCCTGGGTTCCCCCCCAACCACCACCACCACCACCACCTCACCTCCTCGGCCTGCTTCCGCAGCGCCTTCTCCCGCTCGTACTGGGTGAGGAGCTGCTCGTTGTCGTCCCGCAGCAGCTCGAGCTCCACGCTGGTCTCCTGACTGTGAGCGCAGACCGAGTCCAAGTTCTCCAGCACGGCCACCACCAGTGGCATCAGCTCGGCCACCACCTCCTCATCGTAGCGCCCGATGAGCCGCTCGAACTCGCGGTAGATGGAGCCCGCCAGTCCCGACACCCGCTCCGACATCATGGCCGGGCCGGGGCCTCCCGGGTCCTCCTGGTACACCACGCCGTCCGCTAGCTCCATGGCCTCGGAGCGCAGTGCCTGCCGGCCGACAGAGCCGGGACGGACGGGCAGGCGCCAAGCGCTTCTTTCCGGAGGATCAGCTACAGCAGCAGCACCTCCCTCTGCAGCAGGGCCTTGATTACAGCTCAGCGCCGATGGGAGGGAGCCTGGGTGACAGGCGCGCAGCACTGACTTCACCCACGACGCCGGGGAGGGGACGCCGGGCAGTGACGTTGGCCAGGGGCGGGCGTAGCTTTGGTGACGTCAGGAGAGCCCATGGGAAGTAAATAAAGAGCAGGGTGGGGCGGCTAGAGGAGGAAATGGGTTTTGGAGGATGGTCGCTGTTCTGTGGGTGGTGCGTAGGACTGGTTGCGAAGCAGGGATTGTAACAGCACTGTGTAATAACTGTGTGGGACTTGCTTCTAAGAGAGTGTCCTCGCCCTACCTGTTAGTGTCAGTTCAGCTCACGTTTTACTGGTCGTCTTGGGCATGAACACATAAACAACAGGCTAGTGGCATCTATCTTACGGATTTACCATTGTAAAATAACTTTCATGTATACATCGTACAACATAAAAGAGC